AAATATTTACAATAAGGGAGCAGGGACTTCTACCGCAACGTAAAATACCGGTATTTTCGGTTGAACCTTCGTAGTATATAACCCTATACATATAAGCCCTACCTTTATAGAAATCGAAAAAATACCAGTATTTATTTCGGTTTTCGGTAATATCTCGGTTTCGGTATACATAGCTTTGATGGCATAATACCGATATCAAAATCATACCGGTTTATGTCCCTGTGAAGGAGCCAGCTCCGATTTCGATGAGTTTTCAATACGTTATCAAGATCACCCTGAATGGTGTGAAGGTTTCAGTCAAGGGTCACCGTTTGTAAAAAAGTTATTATCAAAAAGAATTTAGGTTTATATGTAGATGACACAGTTCAATAAATGTTAACTTTTCCGCGGACTTTTAACATTCAAAAGCCCTTTCTTATAGATTTTTGTGCACTGAATACGAATCTGCAAACGGTTTTTCGCCAGCATCCTTAGTTTTCGAGAAATTTCATTTTTTTTTATAGTAACTTGTTTACAAACGGCGACCTCAAATTAAAACCTTCACAGTACTACTCAAAATTATAACCATGACAACATATTAAAACATCATCGAAATCAAAGGTTGCTCATTTATTGTAAATACGTACCTAAATTATTCCGTAGCGGAAGGCTCATATAATTAACGTTGGAAAACATATAAGGCAACGATTCTTTGATTGACAGTGGCCGAAATCACCGTTAATTTCGTGAAAGCGCGTATCAATAAACCCCGAACGGCGATATCGTTAAAATTAATTAATACCAGATAGTTAACTTCGGAGTCTCTCAAGAGCTTCCCAAAATAATTAATGAACATTACGAGGGTCTCGGTGCGAATGTATTTTCAGTTGGGTCTTTCTGAAATATTGATCTTTTCACTCTTGATTAAAGGCTAGAAATATAAGGTCAGGGTGGACGAAAGAAAAGAAAGAACGGGATGTTCCTCTTTCATCGGAGAACCCTATCTCCTTTTTAAGAGATTCTACTTCCCCGAGGCTTCGAACCTAAACTCCCGTAATCGTCAAAGAATGAGGGGAATGTATTCCAAATCCCTTTGCTTGATCGAATGATCCTCATTTCGCTGGAAACTCGGATCTGAAAGTACGTTCCTCGAGGAACATTCTCGTCAGAATGTTCTCATCTCCCTAGTTTCAATTTTTCAAATACTCTCACTGGTTACATGGCAATAAATTTCGTATATATATAAAATAAATTCAACTCATTAATCAGGTTAGTAATACGTTCGCGACCGCCATATTGGTTCGAAACCGTTTTTCGTTAGGTAAACGGACACATAAATTTATATATCTCCAGCAAGAAAAGTGTCACAAGCCAATTTTCATTTTATCGCGTAAAATATCTTCCAATACGTAGTTTGACCATCCAGAAAAATGTCACAAATTGAAGTTAAATGCGTCAAGCGACATGGCGCTAGTGTCACTTTGTTTAATATATGAAATAATACGGGAATGAATCAGTTTCTTTTCGCTCTCCTGAAAAATTATACATTCTACACTTGTGACACTTTTCTTGCATAGGGTGCAATATGTGAATTTAGCGAAATACATTCTGCTATTAACTAATAAAGTAGCGACCGTAAATTGGAGTAACTTTGAACTGTCAGGTTAACTTTGTACAAGGTCAAAAAATGATCATCTTCGATTTTGCACATCTGTAAACAGTTAAATTAAATTGATTTTCTCGTAAAAATATCTGCAAAATTGAAAATGATCATTTTCTGAATCTGGAACAAAGTTACCCCTGGCTGATTCAAAAGTTACCCCATCTGAAGGTACGCTGACATTTTTTGGCTTTTTCACGTAAACTGCGAAACTGTAATAGCACGTGTCACCTGGTAGCCAACCTGTGTTACATTATTCTTTGTTTTATTTCAGTCTTTTTTCTATTATCTTTATTAACAAACGCACCACACTGTGATCATCTTTGAACCCATACAAAGAAGGTAATTCATTATTTCCGAACAAGAATTATTAATCTTCTCGAATACTTCCATCAAGAATCGTCTTCGTTCCACCGCGTTCAGTATTCACCAATTCCAACTGCACAATAATTCCATAATATTCCAGAATCGGTGAAAAATCCACTTAAATACGCGTCGGAACATCGCGTTAATACGACGTACCGACGTCAGTCACGGAATTTTTCAACAGGATCCGATTGCATATCCGGCGTCAGATCGCGCAAAATTTATATCCAACCGTGTTCGACCCGCAATTAAAATCCTCCTGGACGTATTAATTAAATTTCAGGTTACGAACGGTGTTTCAGCGGTTACGCAGCCGTGCCGGACTATTAATGCGAAATCAATTGCGAGCGTTTCCCTGCGTGTAATTTTCGATGGACAAAGAGAAGGAAAACACAAAATCGAATGAAAAGGAAATGCTGCGGAACTTATCGTTTGAGGGATGATTCGTGGGGGTGGTTAGCTCGTTCCCAAAAGGTAATTGGACGTGATACCGGTATTCGTCTGGAGGATGAAAACGATGCGAACCGATTGCGCGAATTCGAGCTTTGAGAGGGAGCTGGTTGGGTGGCCAGAAAAAACCCCTTTTTCCTGAACGGAAAAATGTGGCTTTTGCCCCACCATACAAGACAAAAATTGGATTTTGCCCCACTCCCTCCCTTCCTAAAGTAACAAAATTTTTGCGTATTTTTTTTTGCATTAACATTAATATTGCTGTATAATTTAAAACACGACCAACAACCTCTATTAACAAAACGCATATATTTTCAACGATTTATGACTTTAAAAATAAAATAAAGCGTGTCTGGCTACGTACGGCCTTTTTCACTGTGGCAGAAGATGTGTTAATATTTTTGCCCCCATGATAACCTGGCTACGCCCATGGACGTTTTTAAGCGTTTCCGCTTAATGGCGACGGTAACTGACATCGTTGCGGAAGTCGCGACTTCTGGAAAATGAAATAAAGAGGCATCGCTACTTTAGGTAAAAGCCTGTCCGGCCTTGTTTGACGACGATTTAACGGTTTAACGCCACAGCCACACCGGCCCCGATAGAGCGCGCAACCTAAATAAATATCACCGAAACATCGTGACATCTCGTCGCTGTCGAACATCTTTAAATCGTCCGGATTTATCGATGGAGACGTCGTTCTATGGAAAATATTGGGTTGTCCGGGGATATTTTTGTCGAGTTTTGGGATGAATCGGTGTAAAGTCCATATTTTCATCCATTAACACTTTAAGGGGGTAGCCAACAGCTAAGAATGAACGAATTTTTGGGAATTTATTGCGAAGAAGGTACTAAACCAATCTGTTTGAAACTTTGAGAATTCTTTATTGTACAATTAAACTGAATATAAAATTCTTATTTTCACGACAAATTTATAAATATTATTATAGTTATGAGGACTTATGTGTAGTTCGTGAGCAGAAAAGGTGTTCCACTTAATGGAATTAGGCGAATCGAAGTTGTCATATTTTTATCAATATTGTGTTCGTTAGACCAGTGTAAAATACACCTGGTTTCCTAATTACACGGAAAAGAATTTTTCATATGCTTATGCTTGATGAAACTGTAAATTAATATTAAAATAATATAAAAGTTGATATTGATTTTGATAAGAAATTATGTATTGGTAAGATTAATAATTTCATTGAAAGCAATAAATTTACAGACTAAATTCTATTTATAATCATTCTACTGGTACAGGTGTTCAATAGTAAATTAATTTTTGAGATATAAATATCGTGAAAGAAATTGTATAAATTATTGAAGAAAATAAATAATCGTATAAATGAATACTTTTACAAAATGAATACTCTTGTTAATACAATCTGTAAGTAACAACTGAATCAGTAATTGTCCGTTGCAGGTATTAATAGCGTTTAATTCTTAAGGAAGAACTCTAGGGAATGCCTTTATCCAGAAGGTATCTTTGTCTTCATAATTTAATATCTATTCCATCTGAAGAGGAGTTAAACGACTGAAGTATATTAAGAGGGGATAGCATAATCAATAGTCTGTTAATGAAGTCTAGTCTGTATTATGCATGAACTACACTTCAATTTTGGGCAGGAACACCTGGCTAGACAGGAAAACGATTAATTTGCGGAAGAAGACATTGGAGGATCGATTCAACATACCAAACTGATAATTTGATATCTTGTATAATTAACAATAATACGTTTCCTTCTTTATAATCCCACATAGAACGATTAAATACGTTCCTCAAAAAATCTTATCAAGTATAGAATTATTCTAAAGGTACGCATTAACAAAAAATGTATTCAATTAATTTATTATTCGAAAGTAAGTACCCTTATAATAATTCTAATTCTACAATAAATATTTAAACTCGAATTTACGATCACATACAGTTAGAACCAAAAGTGAATACGTTCTGTGCTTATAATATTGAGATTTATTAGATCCCAAATTTAAAAAAAAAAGTCACAAATTTAGTATAACATTTTTCGACGAAGCATTTAATTTTCGACCAAGTCGAGTTTCAAAATTCATATATGTACTTACATACATAGAATCAGCCTGCTAGCATATTCCTGGTACAGTGTCTGACTACTACTCGATATTTCTACTTAAAGCGAACGTCGATCATGTTTCGTGAATTGTGCTCCATCGATCTCATTACCATCTATCAGTTTATATTCTCATTATCATGACAAACAAATAGTACAGGATCAATGACATTGTTTATAAACGTTAACACAAGCGGAAATAACCATGAATGACCAGACACAAAAGCTAAATATAGTACTGAAGTGCTCTTATGTAATTATAAATTTTCAACATCCATTTAATCGAAAACGAAATCTCGTAAAACAAATTTATTTTGCACACTACACTCACTTTTTCTTATAAAATTACATCATTCCATATTATTCATGCCTATTCCATGGTTTACATGCAATCTACACTTCTTTTTTGATTAGTATTCATTTGAACACATCCTGAAACATTCTCTTCTTGGACATTTCAGACAAAGACATGCAGAAGCCTGGCGATAATAAGAAGAAATTGTTCAAATACGACACTCACGGTTCAATTACGATTGTTCCCACCGCGGATGACAACGATATGGATTACACCTGCGAGGCGAACCATCCAGCCATACCAATCGACATGCCCTTAAGAGCCACCGTCAAACTCTCCGTTTTTTGTAAGTACCATACATTCGAATATCTTTTAACGCACTATGAAAAAAAAATCATTTATATCCCAAAATGGTAATTTTGGAAACGTGTTATTCATTAGAAATCCCTTGATCCCTATACATATATGAAGTAACCTATACAAAACATAACCTCAAATCGAACTATATTTCGTTCAAAATTCTTCGTATGAATTCACTCTAGTACAAATATTTACCCTCCATATCGAAGAAAGATTTACTCGTCTTCATTTTACATTTAACTTGGGAAATTTTCGTGGGATAGTTCTTTCAAAAAATTCGATAACCTTTTCCATTAAAGCGAGTCTAATAACATTGTTCAACGAAATTTTGATAATTCTAAACTGATAGAGTGAAAATAGTTGTATTTACTTAATTTTGAATTGCTGAATACAGTGATAACCTCACTTTTGACCCTATAAGGATTTTTTTTGTGGAACGTTATTGCAGGATCTCAGCCGGCAGACTCACGCTCTGATTGGTCGGGGTTTCTCGATTAATATCTCGTTAACAAAGCGTCGGGGAACTTTTCCACTAAGAAAAAAATTGTTTCAAATCACCCCAGGAATCACCCCTTTCAAGCATTTACACCTATTTTGGAACACCCTGTATATTACACGTATTAATATATTACACAATTTAACTTAGCATACATTTAATGCTGGTAGATCTAGTGTTAAATATCAATTACTAAAATCGCGACAGAATTGCAGGATCGGTTGTTCCACGGATTAAATAGGTTAGTTAGTCGTCACCCGTTAATCCGTCCGTCATTCCAAGTGCATACATATTAATCATCCGCAAGAGCGCGGGATTTCTCGTAACGCTCCGCAGAACCGGGCGAACTTTTATTAAGAAACTTTTTCCATTACTAGAAGAATAGCCGTGACCGGAGAATTTTCAGGACTCGCATGATTGAATAATTTTAAGATCCGCCTGGTATGCCGTACATCGAGGGATACACCGAGGGCGAGACGGTGAAGCGTGGACAACAGCTGGAGCTAACTTGTCGATCGCGGGGCGGGAATCCGCCAGCGCAGATCGTCTGGTACAGAAAGAACGAGCAGATCACCACGGTGTACCGTACCGAAGGCAGTTTCTCCGAGAGTGTGTTGTCTATCATCGCTAAAGCACAGGACAACAACGCCACGTACAGATGCGAGGTCTCCAATATCATGAGCATCGAGCCCATGAAAGTGAACGTCGATCTCACCGTACTTTGTAAGTATTGGTGCACTTGTAAACCATCGATTAGCAGTAATATTTCGATCTATCGACAGACTTCTACATTATATGTATACTAGCATGGGCATAGCCAGGGAGCAGGGGGCAGGGCATTTGTCCCTCGTGGACGGGAAAAAGTGGCTTTTGCCCCACCCTACAAGAAAAAAATTCGATTTTGCCCCCTCCTCCCTTCTCAGAGTTACAAAATTTTTGCATAATATTTAATATTACAATCTAATTGGAAATAGTAACTCTAACCTGTAATTCAAACCTTTCTTACTTGATCCCACACACTTCTATATTCTATACTAGATGTCTGCGCGTACGTGTGAGTTCGTGTAACTGTTAGTATGTCGGGAATGGAACTTCAGATTACAAAATAAAGGAGTGTCCCATCTCTTTAGGACACCCTGTATATGAGTTTTTAAACACATTTTCATATATCTCTTTAGTATTTCTTGCTATATAAACGTTTTTTGTTCAATCTTTTTATTAAGATTAATCTAATATTTATCTAAGAAGAAATTTCCAAGTCTCCAATTTTATAGATTAAATGATCAATTATACGTAAAATTGGAATTCTAAATACAGTGGACTCTAACTATATTGCCATGGTCGGGGCTGTAGGGGAGTAAAATGGCAATAAGTTCAGAGCCCCCTCCATGCTAAGCTCTGTCGTCATAGCCTCGATCTCAGCGCCTGCGCAAAAGTTGGATCGTACTGGTGCGCCAGCGTACGCAATGTGGTGGGAGAGCGAATTTCTGTGCTAAGAAGTCCTTGAGAAGGGGAAGTGCCTCTCGCGGCAATATGTTTAGTGGCAATATAGTTAGAGTCCACTGTACACTACTCCTTCCATAACATTGCGTGGTTCAGATTAATTCAAACAAAAATCTGCCCATCTCAGGAAAACCTAAATGTTACATAAAACATTTTCCCCAAGAAATTTGCTAAACAATTTTATACGTATCGGATAAATACGAGGAAAAATCTTCGGGTCTCGATTTTTATATTTGAAATCGAAGGGGACGGGGATCGTTCACCAAATCGCGTATCGTTTCAGTCGCTCCATCCGGCGTGACGATCACGGGACCGACGGAAGCGAAGGCGGACGAGCAAGTGGTGATCACCTGCACAACGGAGAACTCGAATCCTCCGGCGGACATAAAATGGACGGTCGACGGTCACAATTTCGAGAGCAACGCCTCGAGGACCGAGCCGGCGCCGCAGGGCGGTTGGATCACCACGTCGAACGTCACGTTCAACATCAATCGGACCAGCCGCAGCATCGTCGTGATCTGCGACGCGTCGAACGTCAAGCTAACGGAGAACGTCGTACGGACGCACACCATAAACGTGATTTGTGAGTAACTACCTACCATCTAGCGACGGATTAATACGAAGCTAATCCCGGGGTGAACCTTACGACTTTACATTGTATCTTGTCCGTTTATCCTGGATCCGTGAATTTGGCCCCGTCTTAACTCGGATATACCCGCTGACTCTGGATGCAATTCAAACTTGCGTGAAAATTTATTCTGCTCCAGAAATGGAAGACGCTTCAATACGTGTAGTGTTCACTATTCTGCCCTTCTTAGTTAAAACGTTCTAACTACAATTTTTTCATTTTTCGTGATATTTTGAAATATTTGTAGATATGTTTTCTACCTTTTCGGCTGGGTTAGTAAAACAGTTTAATTGATTTGTCCTGACTGCTGTACTGAGGTTATAGTATTTTGATGATCCTCATTCGTAGATCCACCGTCCAAACTCACTATCACCGGATACGAGGAGGGCACCACGATCGACGCTGGTACCGTGCTGAGATTGATGTGCACTGCCACCTCCGGAAACCCATTGGCTACCTTGACTTGGTACAAGAACGACAGGCAGGTGAGTGGATGGGAATATTTTTGTAATATTAAAATTATTCAGCAAATATGATAAAGGATCGTGTCAATTAAGTGGACATTGAATTGATAAATATTTTGCTGGTATGTGTAAAGAAAAATATAGAAGAGACACAACATTAACTATCCTTTCATCAGAAAAACGAGCTTGAAAATTGCAGTTAATTTCAAATTTTTTAAATAACCTGAATTTTTTTATTGAAAAATTCTTGTGTATACTGACATATGGACATATTGAAATTTTAAACAAAAATTTGTAAAGGTTTCTTTACTTTATATAGTAACGCATACAATAATATAGATTTGAGTAAACAATAAACCGTAAAATCAAAATCATGTATTAAATGTTTCGAACCAGCAAAATGCTTCTTCTCAAGCATCGACAAAATATGACTGCTTTCTTAAAATTTATACCTCTACCATTTTTCTAGGACAATTAGCAATTTCATTAACATCTCAAAACTACCAATAATTGACTGTTATACCTTTTATTTCTCTTTATTTTTAGCACTTATAACCGAAGAAGGCAAGTCCAAGCTGAAATTCCAGAAAAATAGACTATATATTTATTTAATTCTGTGCTTTCTATGGTAGATACCCGGGAGCACCAGAACACGTGACCACGCGGTGTCCAGCGAGCTGACGATGCTCGTAAACGCATCGGACAACAACGCGCGTATACGCTGCGAAGGGTCAAATTCTGCAACGGAAATCCCTCTAATGAAAATCCTCGCCTTAAAAGTTAACTGTAAGTTACAATGAAACCCCTACGATCTTAAAAATTACAACAAACATCCATTCGTAACTCATTTTTAAAGAATGTTGCACAAAAACCAGAATCCAGTAACAATTTATCTTGTCCACAAAGGACTTCATTATAACTTATATATTTAGTACATGACAAAAATATTCATTAACGTTAGAACTATGGGTGAATATTATATTGAATTTTATAATATATTAATACACAAGGTGTTAATAAAAACGTGGGACTCTTTCACAAAGTGGATTCTATAAACATGCCATATCAAGAATGGCAAAATTGCACTTGGGGCTTCGTTCCTGTGTTATTAATGGTTGAAAATACAGGCAAAATACGCTTAAAATACATCTGGCGCAGTGGATATAAAGCACGAACTGCCGTTTCCCAGCTGATACACGTGATCGAACGATGAATTAGTGAAACTAATGAATGAAATAAAATGGAATGAATAAAACCAACTCGTAAAACAGTCGAAGAACGCGCCTCTCAAGTAGAATAACCCGTCACGTCAGACGTATTTTACGCGTATTTCGCCTATATTTTCAACAATTACGAACTGGGAAACGGAGCCTCGATCGCAATTTCTTTATTCTTGATGTTTGTCTCAGTTAGCCATCTAGAATCCACCCTGTGACAATGTCCCATTATTTATTAACAATTAACACCCTTGTATAATATGATATAACGTAATACAGTATAATATAAAATTTACATTCAACTAAAAGTCAACATAAATCCCGACAAAGCACTTTTATGATTTCAAGAATTGTAAAACAAAAAATTTGGAGACCTTCATTTCGACAGATTTGGTTGTTATTGTTAGTGGTTAACCCTCGTATACTGTTCAGACCAATTTGACCAGAAGCCAATGTTTGATTCTCAACCGCATTTATCATTCCAGAAATTTATAAATTAATTTAACATCAATAGACCGCATACAATTTATCTATCTATAGGCAAATACATTTCCTTAACTCTTAGAATACGGTGGCCGGGTCCGTTTGGGCCGAATGTTTAAAAACCGTATCTAACTCATCGATTTGTAAATGTAATTTAAACCAGGATTTGTTCATATTTAGCCACGTAAAAAGGCATTTGTTTTTTAATAACCGTGTTCGAAACTATATTTAAAAAGAAGGGTTTCAAACAGACCCAGACAGCACTGTCTCTACGAGCGTTAAAAACGTCCGTACTCCCATGACCAATTCCATTTTATTTCAGGCTCAACTTAATACAAGAAACGCAATACTTTATGGAACAGTGTACGTGGGTTAATCTCTGTGAAACTTTTCCTTCCAATTGTGTTTCACATAAATTCCTAAAGACCAAAAAAAGATGATACGAAGTGGATAAGACGAAAGATAATATCCTCCAGAAAAACAGGGATGTTCTATTAACATGAAACCCAGAAGTTCTTTCGATATAAACGAACACTCATCCATGTATAAAGTTAACTTTTCGATTTTATCGCGGGGGAATTTTCTCTCTCATGCCCGACGATTCTTCTCCCCGTTAATCGACTTACGATTCGACCCCCGTTTCGTCTGTTCCCAGTCCCGCCCGATAAAATTAAGATCACTCACGAGCCCCAGGATTTGCACGCGGGCGAGGAGGGCCGTATCATTTGCGAATCGAGCAGCAGCAATCCGCCGGCCGAGGTGTCATGGTGGAGGGGCGGTACACCGGTGCTGGGCACGAAAAATGGCACTAAACCGGGCTTACACGGTGGTTTCCTGTCGTTCGTCGAGCTCGCGTTGGACGTCACCGAGGAAATGAACCGCGAGGTGTACACGTGTCAGGCGAGGAACAATCAAATGGAGAGGTCCATTCACGACGCAACGACCCTCGATGTCTTGTGTGAGTACCAACCGGAATTTATGGTCGAATTAACGGAAGCCCCGTTAAGATCGCATAGCAAAATTGGCGTACGCGAAGAAAAGTCTCGTAAAGTTGTAATCGCAACGCCGAATAATTTACGACCGGTTCCCCGGGGGAATTTTATGCGTTTTCAGCGTGTTCGAATGTTAAAAGTAAACGTGACAGATATGTTAAAGTTCTGATTGTACTTTTTGTGCAATGGAAGTCTCGATTAACATTTAGACTTTTGGATTTTTTTGATACAGGGAGTGATTTTTTGGTGCAATAATGTATGTACATGTGTAGGGTGGATGTACTATTAGTAAATGAAAACGTACTAGTGAATGAACATTATACAGGGTGAGTCAATAAGAAGTACTATCTAAAATAACTCGTTATTTATGATAATGTTCGTTTACTTAATATTGTTTATTCACTGGTAAAATCTGTATTTTGTCTTTTTAATTTAATTAATTCCATTTTTCCAATTTTTGAAATTGATATCTATAGATTTTAAAAGAAGGTATAGAAATTGAAAAATCTAATTTTCACGTGTCAAATATTTATCAATATTATGCATCATTTAAAATTTTACTGTAATAGTTACAAACTCTCTTAAGTATTAATTCATTGGTGCGTTTACCCTATAATAACATATGCACTGAATTTCGAGTTCTGTCAATGTCACAAAATGGTAATAAAATTTAAAATTCTTCAATATCTGGTTTAAAGTATTTCCGGGGAGTTTTCGATATCGCATATTACGATTTTAAAGTCAGATTTAAAAATTGTTTAGATACTACAAAGCTGTCTTGTTATAAAAAAACATGCGAAATTTTCTTTGATTCGCAGACAAGCCGATATTCTCACCGATAGTACCTGACGAATTGATCGGTATGGAAAGTGAACCGTTTGTGGTTTCTGTCTTCGCAAGGGGAAATCCAAACGACATAAAATACACGTGGACAAGGGACGGTTTGCCGTTGGTCAGCAACAGCAAGAGGATATTCGTTCGAGGATCCACGTTGAACATTACCAAACTGGATCGTCACGATGCTGGAACTTACATATGCGAGGCGACCAATGAAGAGGGGTCAACGTTTTACGCGTTGAACCTGACTGTACAATGTAAATAGAAATTAACAATAAGATTATTGTCTTTCCTTATTCTAATTCATAAAACATTTATTTTTCCATTCTAAGAAGCCATCTATTTTCCTTGTTCTTCTGATCATATAGTCCTATAATAGACCTTCTTTTAATCATCTTGTTCTGTAATAGATCTCCTTGTTCTTCTCATCGTTTAGTCCAATAATAGATCTCCTTCTTCTGATCATCTCGTTCTGTAATAGATCTTGTTGTTATTCTGATCTTGTTCTATAATAGATCTTCTTGTTATTCTGATCGTCTTGTTCTCCTGATCATCTTGCTCCGTAATAGATCTCTTGTTCTTCTTATCATCTATGTCTGTAAAGCTTCTTTTAGTATAATTATTATGCTACACTTTCTTATCCATCAAAATGTGGCTTATTGTTTTTCGTTTTATATGACACAGATAGTTTGTATTGTCCGCAAAATGTTTGATATTCAATCCCGAACTCCGTATCTTCCAGACTCGGCGAAAATTAAACGCACATCGGCGTCGGGGATAGTGTATCCTCCAGGTATCGAAGCAAAATTGTTCTGCGAAGTGGACGGCAGCCCCATGGGAGACGAGTACGTCACGTGGCAGAAAGTTGGCTCGAACTCGGAGCTATCCGGCCGATATTCAACCTCTTTTATCAACAAAACTTCTTATCTACACATCGAAAATCCTGATCAAGAGGACGTCGGAGAATACCAGTGCAAAGTCAATAACGGAATCGGGAACGTTACATCCGAGCCCATTCTCTTTGTCACGAACTGTACGTATATTAATTTATTCGGTTCGTTATTCGACTAATCGAACGTGAAAAATTTTTCAAACTCGTGCAAACGTTTGTAATCACTTTTACTCGACAAATTTAGTACATAGTACATTTTAAAAACTTAACAATTTGTAATACTTTATAATCATTTCTCGAACATCCTACGCAATTTTTATTCAATGAATGGTCGGAAAGTATTTTTTAAAGAAAAATATATTACCTTGTGATTACAAAAAAAAATGGTGGATTACCTATCGGTGAACCTAATACAATTATATTTATGGTTGATAATATATTTTGTTAGTGTAAGATATGTTTTGTATCCCCGTTACAGTTAAACCACAAATGATAAACACACCCCTGACAAGAAAAGCAGCCGCGAACAAAGGGATAAACGTGCAGCTGTTTTGCAAAGCGCGGGGCTCGCCATTGCCACGGTTCTCGTGGACGTTTGCCGGAAAAACCTTGTTGCCGAACGTCACCGAGCATAAATACAGCATCACGCACACGGATGTGAGTTAATATTAATATTATACAAAAAAGCGTGACACCGAGCTCTAGAAGTTATCTATATTGAAACACTATTCAAAATGACTGATTAACTAAAATTCATCAAAACTTGACTTACGACCATTAAAGTTTTCATGGGTTCCAAATCTTAACCTGTCGACCGGCACAATTTTTCGATCGAAAGCGCCCCCTAGTTCATAAGTATTGGGACACTTATCGAATATAAAATACCCTTACGAACAAACTCAATGAGTTAAATATTATTTAGGGGATATTAAAGCTCAATGGATAACACTTACGTTAATCTACAGTAATGAAACTGGCCCAAAATTCATAATTTTTATAAAACACCACATTTTCGTCATATAGCCCAGGTGTCCTAATACTTACGAATTGCAGTGTACATTCTTTCGTAACTGGCACAATTCATTAATATTAACAACAAAGTCACACATCTTGCCCAGTAAAGCACTTTCAAAACGAACGAATCAATTCGTCTTCGTCGATTAACAGGTGAACCCTTTCTTTACTGCAGAGTTAGCCACAGTCTACATTTTGCCTCGAACAGTATAACGATCTGCTTAATTAATACATCTAATTAGAGAAACTAATTAAATTGGCTTAGATTCACGACAAATTTAAAGTTCCAACGGGTGACCATAGTCACCTGTAGGAGACAAGAAGCATCCAGTGGTGGTTAACTATAGTCATCTTTAGTATACAGCGAGCGCTAGACCAATGGGTGGCTATAGTCACCTTCGATAATAAAAGGGTTAAAAGATAAAAAGATAACGTGTATGTCGATCAGTACAATCTAAGGAATCAATCAGAACTCTCACAGTCTTCTTAACCATTTTCCGTTTTCCCACCATAGTTAAGCGAGTTGGTCTCGGAGTCGACGCTGACCATTTTCCGCGTAAGATCCCACGATTACGGTAAATACGAGTGCCGTGCGACGAACAAGATGGGACACTCGACGGACACGATAGATCTGGACATCACGTCGCCGCCGGACCAACCGACCGATCTCGAGGTCTACAACGTCACCCACGAGTCCGTCACGCTAACGTGGAAACGAGGATTCGACGGCGGGTTGCCGACCTCCTATCAAGTACGATGGCGAGAGGCGCTCGACTACGAGGATCGATACCATTATCTGGACGTCTCGCCAGGGGAATATAAAACCACGATAACCGGGCTGTCCCTCGGGACCCAATATGTCTTCAGTGTGAAGGCCATTAACGAGAAAGGGGACAGCGGCTTTCTGCCAGACCTGGTCAAAGTCCAGACGCTTCGTAAGTATTGGAATTGAGTTCACGTACTTACCTGTAACCCGCTGTGTGCCGTAACCAATTGCTTTTTAGTTTGCGAACAGTAGCTGCGCCATCTCTCAAATTACCATTTTTTCTCGCGCCCTTAACCCTTTCTCGGACTTATAATTCGGACTTAAAATTATTCTTGGTATTTTGTTTTGGTCTTGCATAAATATCATATAATTTAACTGTATTTTAATATATTGATTTGATAATGTAGGGCAAGGTTGCCATTTGGACCATCGCTTAGGTTGGACCACTACTGAACTTGCCAGGTGTAAGCAATTTACGCCGTATGATAGACAATATTTGTTGCTTATATACTAGGTTAGTTAATAAAATCACTACTGTCATACACGTATGCCCAATCATACGGTGAAAATTGCTGATAGATAACACGTTACAGGTACTGGTTTAACCTAGGCAATGGTCCAAGTGGCAATCTTCCCTCATCCATAAAATTTAAAAAGTATTCAGATTGTCTTTACGTACAATGCAGATAGAATTTCACTAAATATACCAGAGACTACTACTGTACGGAGTGATTGCACTAAAATTGAATGTCAACTCAGTCTTGACAGGACCGCAAAGGGTTAAACGTCAGAGTGGGTTTCGTTGCCACGGCAACTTAACACATACCCGTTCACTTAACAAATATTCAGTCGAACACATACCCTTAATCCGCCGGATTCGCATCATCCATATCGTATTCCGTTTATTATGCGATCAGTATAATAATTAGTTGTCGATACGTAGTACTGCTTAATAGGGTGATAGCCATTTCCGTATGAAGTTCGGTGGTCGTAGTCGGCAATTAATCCTGCGTGCTTTGGTGGTGAAATATTTAAGGATTTTACGCGAGAGAATCGCGTGAATTGTTACCAATCCAGTATCTTAATAATCGGTGAAGGTTTGATGAGAATTCTTGTTGGTTTGATGGGTAAAAGAAGGTGCATTGTGAATGTTAGGATTTGAAATTAAAATACGAGATTGTTAGTCGAAAGCATCACATCGACAGATATGTGAACTTTTGCGTCCTCAACTTCAGATATCGTCGCGGAACGCAACGTTACGTTTCAGATGGCGCCACTGAAGACTGACAGACCAGACATCTCATGCATTTTTATTAAACTGAATATGAATGGACAGAAACGAAACTAACTGACATTAGTGTAGTTGACATCAACTATGAAATATCCTTTTATTTTATGTTTCGTACTGGGTACAAGGAATGCCATAAAATACTTTATGCTTGGTAGAAATCATGACGCCATTTTGAAGATATCGTATGTTCACAAGTCACCCTTTCTATTGCCATTATTAGAGAATTCTTGTGACACTTCCATTCAGTGCTAACATACAGGGTGTCTCATTTCAGTGTGATCCCCGAATACCTTTTTCAATGTGAAAACGCAAAAAAGTATTTTATGCGTAATTCCAATGGTATTAAGTAATCGGTATCCTGCATGCGTTGTTTTCTTCTCGAAGTTTTCAAGGTTATAAATGTTTTTTCAAATAACTACATATTTGTTCAAAGTCACATCAAGGTCGCTACATATATGAATGTATTTTTTCATGAGCTACGCAATGCAATAAGAAAAAAATATGTAATTACTTGAAAAACAACATCGACGACCTAGAAAACTTCGAGAAAATACAACATTTGAAAAAAACAACGCCTGCAGGATACTGACGACATAATACCATTCAAATTGCATATGAAATATTTTGTTGCATTTTCACAATTAAAAAAGTTATTCGGGGGTGTCACTTAAACTAGACGCCCTGTATAAACTATTTTAAAGTGATCATTACGTTTCAAGTATCATAGAGAATGGTAGCTTAAACGGCATAACATCGACATTTAACATTTCGACGACATTACCGTACCATGATAAGTAGACTGCGGATTTCATACATTTATAGAGCTCTGTGAAATACAATAAAAAGCAAAACTTTCATCGGATCCAACGAGGTTTCTATTTTATTCTGAACCCAATAAGATACTTAAGAGGGAAAATAAATTTCTACTCCTGTCTTTATAAATTACTTTAGAAACTTTTATTTTGCATAAAAATCCGCAGTCTAATGATAAGCTTTAAACCATCGCATCTTGGTTTCTTTCCCGCCAAATTCGGTAGATCTGCGGAACGAAAACGTACGCAGAACGAGTCTAACAGAGAGTAAAATTGATCGTTTGTCGTTCCTAATGAACGGGGGGTTGGGGGGAGGATTTGCCGTTTAAACTGACCACGGTACACGGTCCGTTTAACGGTAACCGTGGCCTAATCACGGAGTCAAAGGAAAGATTACCATTGCTGATGGACTTAGATGCTCGCTAACGGAACCCCGGTCGCCGCCAAAAACGTTTAATAATCGATCGTGCGCGCGACGCTTGCCTAAATTGTAACTAACATACGCGGGTTATACCGTCGTTTTGCATGAATAACAAAACCGGTGATGGGTGCGTTGGCTTGGCTTACAGGGGAGGCACCACCTACCGACGTGACATCAAGCGAGATTAATTCTTCCTACATCATCGTCATTATCATCACTGTTTCCGCCTCTGTATGCCTACTCATTGCTGCGCCCATAGTCTTTGCTACATTAAAATCGAAAAAGAAGGCTCAACGTTCCGGTAAATATTAATCACTATCACGTATTTTTTCTTTTTGTTTCTGCTGATCCTCTAGGGCCGAATAACGCTGAGAATCTGCCGGACGTTCTCTTGGAGAAGGGGGATTTTGCAATGAATTATATCTATACGTTCGCAGCAACCTCCCTCATCTTTTTTATCATAAATGTGCTCATCGTCGTGTTGTGGTACATTATGAGAAAACGAAATAAAGATCGTAAGTGAACCATCATCGTCTTGAACGGGAGGGGCGTGTGTACGATACGCGCCTCGCCGGTTCTCAGTAAATCGATAGAGAACATAAATTGGAAATTATTAAACGACAGGCAACGACGACATTGGAGCAAGGTTTTCTGATCCGATGAATTTTTTGTTTGTTTGTTATTTATCCAGGAATCAACAAGTCCCAGACAGCCGATATGTACGCACCGTCGACCGTCAACGGGGACACAATGACCGGTGAATTAAGTTCCGTGTCGGACGAGAAGAGCGACGTTAACTTCGACACTAACGATTACGTGGTCAGTGCGATCAGTCAGTATGTTCTTAGTAACAAGTAATGCCGGAGGGTAGGTTTGAGTTCTATTAACACATTTCTGTTTCGTTTTTACTTCCGTTTAGAGAACGCACACCTTTCACTTCTGCACTTCCCTGTCGCATCACGAGTCGGACACCACTTATTGACTTCCCGTTTCTCCTCTGTTGCATCCGTATTTTCACCCTGTATTAATTGTTATCCGATAACGACACCCTCGTCGTGCCTTGATCAGTAGCGTGTATCGATCTGTTGATTTCATTTTCATTTTCGGTTCGTTCGTGTTCACGTGTATTCTGTCTTCGTTTCTTGCAGTATCCTTTTGAGCGTAGGAAGGTTTTGGGGTGGATCTTTTTAGACCTATATCCCTGTGCACATGTAGGCGCCCCCGGGCATTCTCGTAATGTATCAGAATGATTAAAATGTAAATGTCGAAAGTGAAGACGTGAAGTGTTGCTTCGTTGCATGTGAAGCCGGCAATGTATTTGGACTTCATACTGATACGATACGAACTGAAGGGAGAAACTTAAAGGCTCTCCGAGTTTAGTCGACTTGGTAGTGGCGATGATTGACCGTTTAATAGACACGTTGCAGGTTTGTCGCTTCGATCAGCAGCGATTTAAAAGGATACGTTCTTTCTATGTAACAAAACAGGACGAGGGACGAAAGACAGCGGCAAGCACGTATTTAATAGATCAGACTATGCAAGATTATGGGAAGGGGAACTTGGAAATGCAAGTACATCATCAGGGAACGCTTGGTCGTCGTGGCAACCACATTCAACCGCCTATTATGGATTCGCCGCCACAGCGAACAACAGCCAGTGGAACGCTTTCTGGTACGTCTATTGGAAATGAATATTTGCACAACAAATATTTCCCATTGTTAAAGTTTGAAAAATGTCTACTAGTAAAGTAAATAACGGAAGAAAGATGGCCAACGTTCGTGCAGTTGCTGCTGGTGCGTTAAATTGCTGACTAAGGAATTAAATCTCGGGGAAAATAATAATTGTGTCAGAGAAGTTGGCCCTATAGAACGAACAGTATACCATAAACCAATCAGACCCACAATCATTGCGCTAGAGTACCAGCGAGATATAAGAATAGACATTTCATCCAATGTATTTCTTCGGCCCACTTTTCTCGGGTAGGTAACTTTGTCCCATTTCCATGTTAATGTCATTACCCTCCGTACATTCATCGTTCTCACATTCTAGAAGTTACTAAAACCACAGGCTGTTTAAAGTGTCGGTGGTACAGTTTAGGTCTGCCACTAACTCCCATAAGATGAAAGGTCTATTCTTATACCTCGTCGGTGGCTAGAGCCAACTTTTCATCTCTGCAAAGTAGTCGTACAACAATAAACCAAATACTCAATGTTAGAGGATGAATCATACCAGTAACGCGAGTTTCGCACCGAAATTCCAGTGTCGAAATCGAGTTACATCGGTAACCCAAGTCCAGCCCCGCCGAACGACGTGAACTTCTACAGCGTGGAGATCGACAACGGCCGTTACATGGGATACGAGACGAACCACAGCCCGGTGGTAGGCGAACCGGGCTCGGGCACGTACTATCCATCCATGAGCCCGACGGGTCACCTCGTGACCAGTCATCTGACCAGCGGAACGGGAACGTTGACACGCAGCAGAACCCTGCCGCGTCCAGTCCCGCCACCAGATGTCACCGTGATGACAGCCGGTTCGAAATCGCCGATCCCGCCATCGGTACCACCGCCGCCGACCACGTTCGCCCGTTCAGTGCCCGGTAACGCGCACATCCACGGCCACTCGTTGTCGACCTTCACGCCCACGCCGGCCTATTCCGACATCGACGGCCATCTTGTCTGAGGATCACCGATATTCGGCCCCAGTTCGGTGCGTGGCAAGTACCGCGCCGTGCCGAGGGACGAGACTATCACCGTCACGGAAAGAACCACACGGCTTTAATCGAACAATTCGCGGGTGGACGCACATTCGCGGACGCTGTCGTCGGCCACGTTTTCTACTCGCCAGGGGGCGACACGGCCGATCAGCGAGAACATTACTAGAGGGGGCTACATGTCCTTTTGTGGGGGAGTTTCCTGTGTGGGTGCGTCGACGACCGTTAATCCTCTTTGAACACGAAAGAAAGTAAAGAAGCGTGTAAATAAACAGAGACACCATACACCGCCGTTGTGTATGGTTTTATTAAACGTAATTTTTCAAATAAGCACCGCGGATATACATGTAAACTGTATTCTTTGCGCTGGGTTCACGTTCATTTCGCGGGCGGCTAAGGTGCGTCACCGACAGCCTTATTGACTGCGCGCGCATGCTCACCCTCGTTAGTTACGTTTCACGCATATCACGTGGCGGCTTCAGTGTGGAGAGAGGGAAGACACGCGAAACGATGCGCGGGAAGAACCGGGAAGGCATCGTTTCGCCGCTTGCTCAATTCCCGTTTTACGTTGCCGCTCAAGCCCTGCTGCACATACACACACATACACATACCCGTCCTGTGGACGAGGTTCGGGTTTTCTTTTCTCGTGCGCGTCCGACTTCATAGTGAAACAGAGAAACGTTTTCGACCGTGTGTGATCTACCTAAGTGAACGAAACTCGAATGAACGCGCGCAGGGGGGGGGGGAGGAAACGTTTGGAGACGCGACTGTGTCCCGTATACATACTCGGGGGGAGCGCAAAAGGTATAGTATGGATTTTACGATCACGTTTATGCCTTACTACTCTTATCTTGGAATAAGTTACTCGTAGTTCGTACCCATCGACCCGACAGAACTCATGCGATCCAACGGTGAAACCAAACCTGAAGAGTGAACGAAAGATCAATGATCCATAGTACATGTACTTTCTAGATTCGTAGGATTGATATTGGCGCGGCTGTTACGATTTTGTTATCGTGTTCTGTTCCCTGCTACTCGTTAAGTGCTCACGGTCTACTAGGCGAGGTACCCTTACCAGCAAACTCGGCTTCCGCTAGGGGAAAAAGGCAGCGATTGGGGAAAGGACCTTTTACAGTTTGTGCATTTATTTCAAGTACTGAAATAAATATTCAAGCCAATGTTAATTTGACAAACATTTCAGCAATTCCAGAGATCAAGTAATAGGAGGCCCTTTCCTTACACCACTTTTTCCCCTAATGGAAACTAAGTTTGCTCGTGGGTACTCTAGTCGGTGTCTCTCGAGAGAGACAACACCGATCTTTCTGAAAGTAATCCCGACCCAACGATCGGGCAATTAGAGCCACCCAACAGATACGCAGCCGGGAGTGTCACATTTTCGTGACTCAGATGGTCTCAGAGTCGCATGATCTTGGTGTCATCGTGAAGTCGCGTAGTCGCGCGTTTTCCTCGTTTCATAATGATGTACGTACCGACCGTCCATGAGTTCGTTTACGATTTTTTTGAAGAAAAATGAAAGAGAAAGTTAGGTCCAGCCCCGGATATTGGCACGACTCCTTGGTTGAGATTCGAATGGAACGAGACAATCGTTTTACACAGGGAAACAATTGACGGACTGTTTGCAATCGGTAACGAACCGATTGATTTCCTTCTTCCCTTTCCCTCCAGCTCGTTGATCGCGACGCGTTCGCTGTTAGATCGAACGGATCTTGCTTGTTACGGAAACGAAAATGATGACGAGCGTTGAAACGAGCGGAAAGCTGGTGCGAATTGAACTTGATGAGCTCGATAGGTATTGATTAGGCGATGTTTTAGATTTTAGATGTTGCAAAATTTCAAGGGAAAGCTACGCTGCTTCGACCCTCTCCAGCTTAAATGCTAATACGGTGGATCCAGAGAGAAATTTTTTGGGTTTCTTTCGTCGGTGGGATTTTTCTACGGTATACACTTGACTCGAAGCTTCCGAACGGTATTCCATTTCTTCTTGTTTCACGAATAAATTGCTCCATACAAAAATATGCGCAGAATATTCAAAGTATCGTTGTCCAATGTTTATTTCATAAGTGTCTGACCTGAAGAAAAGCGAAAGGAAAAGAAGGATTCTGTGGTTTTATGGGAAATATAACAACTTCGTGAGTTATTAGAAAATTTTGGAAAAATGTTAAAGCCTGGAATTGATCATAATGGTCCTTGTATCTGGTCATATCACGTAAGACTCAATAAATTAATTAGTAACTCAAGGTCTCACGTAGTTGAACATGAAAAACTTCACGACACTTTAAGTTCTTTTTCGGACATTCATTTCCAAGTGATATGATTAAGTCTTGTAACTTCTTCATATTCATACGGCCCTCCTAAAAATGCAGAAATTATTTTCCATTTTTTTTTCATTAATATCATTTATTCCTAAAGGAAATGCTTGACAATGATAATCTACACATTCTGTGCATATATAGTAGCTCTTTTTTATCCACGTTGACTTTGAACGATACGGTAAAGTTGTTATTTTAGTTGACAAAAGAGGATTCTTTGACATAGAGTCATAGAAAATTCAATTTTTTTCACTGCCGAGTCCTGATGTCAATACCACGGATGGTTCAATCGACAAAATGATAGACTACACGCCTAATACATGATCCACCGTCGTGAGAGCTATAACGCGCGAAACAAAATGGCGGACGCCACATTCGACATCGTTACTGTATAATTGTATACATGATCGTTAAGATCAGTCTTTTTGTTTGTTAACGGTGTGATTGTTAATATTCCATTTATTCGGTTATCGAGCTAATATAATATGTTATAATAATGCAGCACAAAGATAAACGATGAAACCATGACACTAAAATTAGGAGAATACATATGTTATAGAACGAACCGTTTTCACGTGAGCAAGAACGCGGTGCTGATTTTGTTTGCACTTTAGTGGCGTTGTTCATGGACGATTTAGTTATTTCGGTTAACAAAATCAGCATACCTTCTAGGGATAGGGGTTCTTTTTGATACTTTTATTACGATACGCGGTGCGGTTAATGATATTTTGTTATTAAACTTATGGAAAAAGTTGCCAAATACTTGCAAATATTGTCAATTGATTGACGAACGATGATAGTTGCGACATAGTTCATAAGTGATTTTCTTTTTATTAACCTGCCCGGTGTGAACTCGTTCAACGAACGTTTAACGGACACTGTTTTGGGGGTTAATAATTATCGACTGATAGACGGCATTTTGTATATGTAATGGAGGTTCGATTGCTTTCACTGCCTAATTTTTATTCCCGTTACGTCGATATTTAATACTCTTCATACTTAATTGACATAAGATAACAATTGTCACGTGAAAGCGGTTGACTCGGCCGGCAAAAGCTACAAGTATTTTCCTGAGGGGGCGATATCTTTGAGAGCCACTTATTCTATATCTTGCCAGAGAAAACCACAAAACGTATAATATCGCAACGAAACGAATACACGCGAGATTGAACATTCACGGAAACCAGAGAGAAAAAAGAAACGAGACGAATATAATCAGCGAATTCTGTACGGAAACAAATGAACAGGGAAAAAAATTTGACTAACAGAGAAATTAGGAAAGGAAGTAAAAGTGAGTGTCTTGGAGTAGTGATATCTTCAAAAAGACAATAGTACATAAGTTTAATTAAATACGAGTATGAGTTTAGTTAAGAGTATAAACAATTTCCCTGGCACAGCCAAGTTAGAAGTCGCAATTTTTCATAAGTGTCCCTACGCAAACGGTAAGGACGAGAACAAACAAACAAAAAAATAAAAAGAAAAGAAATGAATAAAAGACGTAGTTCAACTAAATGTTTATACATATATATTTTTGCATTTATTTCCAATTAAAAGATTGATTGTCCTTGTAAATAGCGCTAATATGTCTCAGCGTGTCACACCACTCCAGAAAAAAAAGTAATTAACGGAAAAAAAAAACATGGATCATATGAGGGTCTCACTTTACCTAAGCTATAATGAAATATTGTATAGGATTATTACGCTAGGCCAGAAATTATATCTGAGAAAGAGAGAAAGAGAGAGAAAGAAAGGGGAAATATTCCAGTTATCGGACGAGACAACGTCTTTCCGTTTATCGAAAGCCTAAGTAGTCGACACATATATTTTTGAAGAAAACAAAAAAGAAAGCGAGAAACGAAAGAAACGATAACGAAAAGACCGCACGCACCGTTTGGCCTACTGTAAGGTGAAGTCCCGCGCGAACACACGATGACGCGTAAAAAAAAAAAAAATGGCCGCCAACGGCGAAAATATTATACATACATACTTACTCGTGGTGAGTCAGTCGCGAAGTGTAAGTTTCGTTCAATTTTTCCATGAAAGATCACGATCGATGCAGGCCCCAATATCCACGTTGAACGAATGTAAGAAAAATGGGTTAACGACGAGAAGACGAAAAGAAAAACACTGTTCACGTTTCGATGTTCTCTGTGGTACTCATCGAAGAATCATTATGTCGAGAGATCCGCGCACACGTCGCCGCTTCTAATTTGGCTCGTTACGGATAGAAGAAATTGTAAGGAGGTACGTGCGTAAGGCGGGCTCGCTCGAAGGATGCTGATAGAATGGGTTGCAACTCGCGGGTGTATCCATCGCACCATTCACAAACGAACGTGACGCGACATCATACGCCAAAAGATGATGCATCCTCCGAGCAATCCCCTTCTTACTGTTCTTGGTGTTTCGAGAACCATCCGCTGCGAAACGATACACCGGCGATGAAATCGATCGCGTCGTAAGCTATTTTCACTTCTTCGTTCTAACTCGCGATCGGTCGAATGGTCGTCGATTCGCAACGGGAGTCGATCGAGGCGCCATCTGTTATATCCCCGAGCGTAGTGTAAGATGATACGAGAGGGACGCGAGGGGGGAATCAAATTGCACGCGGCAAAAATAAAATCGGAAAAGGGTGTCTCGTTCACGAGCACCGATATATCTATAATACAATACTTTTTCCGCGCCGTTTGTCATGTGTGTGTTTTAAAGCTTGAAAAGAACATGTTTGAAAGTTTTACGGATAACGTTTTCGTAGCATGCGCTATTGTTATTTCATTACCCGGGGGGATGGGAGGGAGGGAAGGGGGGGAGACACTGATTTGTTGATGTAGATTCTACGAAGCTTAAAGAAGATTAAAGAAAAAAAAAACATAATGTGTATTGTTAACCGCTGCTGTTGTGTATGGAGCCGCACCGTTCGGCTTAGACTGATGATATAAGAAGAAAAAAAAATTCACGTATGCTCAATTAGAGAACATGTTTGCGCATAATTAAGAATTCTATTTACATATACATGTTTTATATTTGTAATTAATAACAAGGAAAAAAAAATCATCTATACATAATTATTACCTGATATTATTAGATTATGTAATCTCCAAAGTATTTGCTCATCAAAGTGCTAGGCATGTTAGACGGACCGATATTCGTCCAAAATGGTACCTTGGAGATGGACATACCATCTAACACAGTACGATATTTCATATTTTACACAATAATTAAATAAAATTCCGTTGATTATTCTAAGGCATAGTCAATCCTAATTATACAATCATTAAGGTACGAAGGATAAATTAAACGTTTTACATTTGTATATAATGTACATAAAACAACTTAGATAGACACTGAAAAATGAAATGCATAACGAATTAAATATCAAATTAAGAGGGAAACGATCGAGAGCTTTCGTAATAAATAGTACGTAAAATGTATTCGTATCACTTTTGATGCTTTTTTTTTCCTCTTGGTATTCGATTTTTTTTCTATTCTTATGTACCACCGAACTTTTTAACGAGACGAAAAACACAGCCGAGAAACCGATACTCGCCGACGCGACGCGTCGATCCAAAATGACGCCGGCCGACACACCGAACCAAGTCGCGCGCTCAGCGTGAAACCGAGCGAGTCTCGAAATCGCCGAAAGTGACGTGACGAATATTATCGTAACAAAAAAACTTATCCGTTCCAAAATTACCATTTCCACAAGAGGTGAAGACTGGATTGTGAGCCGTTTAATCGTTTTTTATGATGTTTCGAACGACTCGATTTTATATTCCGCTCGATTTCTCGCACGTACGAGTACGAGTCACCGGAAACTTTCGATTATAGTAACGTTATACTTTGATCTCGACAAAGGGATCCTTGCGTTTCACGCGGAAATCGACGGCGAGAAGTCTTCGTTTTCGAAATAGGAAACAATACACCCGATTTGGGAAACCTCTCTCGAAAAAAAAAAAAACGTAATAGGACACGAGAACTTTTAGAAATTTGTATTCGATACACCACACAAAGAAACGCTCACGGAAAGTGTATTCGAGAATAATTACCGATAACGTTATGTGAATTTAGTTCTACTTGATCGGAGAGTCGACGTGTGTACATTCCGAGATCGTGGATCGGTTGTATTAAACGCAAAATTTTGAACGAACCTGAACACGGTGATTCGTTTTGGGGTAACCTCAAAGCTGATTTCTTGGCCGTCTGTGGGAACCACTTGATCGCATATATCGAGCGATACAAAGGAAAGAAAGAAATAAACGAGATTAATCGTAATATCGTTAAGCGTATCATCGGATATATGTTGCTTCCGTTTGTGTGCCAACCAAAAAAAAAAAAAAACAGTAAATAAATCGACGATTCTCGATGTATAAATATACATAAAGGCAGGACGATGTATGCTGTTACGCGAGCCGCGCGCCGTCACGGCTGGGATTTCCGCGATCGGAATCTATGATACGATGTAAAATTCATTGGAGCAATCATCGCTGTTATTTAAGTACAACCGATAATACCGAACAAAAAAAATGTACGGAACAAAAAAGCTCTCCGTTTACGAAAGAAAAAAAAAGTAAAAATTCAAAGACAGAGCGAAAGAGAGAGAGCGAAAGTGCGAGAGAGAAAGAGAGAGAGAGAGAGAGAGAGAGAAAGATGATACCGTGTAATATAAAACTAAGGATACCAACACACAAAAATTGGTAACATTTAATTACTTGTATATATACATAGTATTTTTACATTCTAATTCTAAATTACATTTCCAATTCTAAATGGTATACATTACTCTGTGAGCTTCGCTTGTCATCTGTGTAAATCATCGATAACGTTCTGACGTTTGTTCACTTTGGAAAATTAGCCTCAGAGAGGGTTTCTATTGCGAGCACGGCAGCGATGCTCGGCAAAAATTAAGCCCCTACCCCTCACCACCATCACACACCCTCTTGTGCACGGTGTCATTGCACCCACCGCACAA